TCTTTTGTTTGGTAGGTTTTAATCCGCAAATTGGCCTTCATTGATTATTCGTCAATAGAATTTCTCTGTATAAAAAATATGATGCCCTTAATGTTGGTGATCTAATCTTCCGTGATGGTTCGTTTGATAATTTCAAGATCCACGATGAGCATCCGTTCGGAACGCTTTTGCTATCTTACGAGTTTGTTAATGAGCTATGCTGGAATTGCAGACAGGGCACTTTTGTACTGAAAAGAGCCATTCTTCGGAATAATACTTGAACTCCTAGCGAAAAATGAATCAAATAAAGGAGGAGAAAAATGTGATAACAGTTCAATTGTTTTGGGAAAGCTTCTCCGCCTGAATAATAAAATTCAACAATGACTGGAAAATTACAGAACTCGCATCTTGTACATTTCAGTCGAGTTAATCTTTCTCAAAACGAGAGCAAAATTTGCCTACCTTTTGTTTGCATTTAAAGGAAAAATTTTTTCCCTTTACTTTCTCCAGTGGTTTGCAAGTTTTATTTAACAACTGTATTGCATTTCCGAAAATACCCTCAAGTATGAAAATGTTTCATCGAGCGTCGAAGAAAAGAAAGATTTCATGGCACGATGTTTGCGTAAGCAATCAGGAAACCGCTGAAAGTGTTGCTATAGTCGCTTCTGAATTGCACAGTAACTTCATTTGTGCTGCTGTAAGCGATGCTCGTCATCAGATAAAAGCCAACCCTGAAACAATGGCATTCGATCAACATTTCGTTCCCTATTCAATTTAAATTGAATAATTGAGGAAGAACTTACGCAAATAAGGTTCCGTTTTCCAAAAAGAAGAGGGTGTCGTAGCCTGCCTCCAACCTGGTTCGCAGGGCCCTCAGGGCGAATCTCGATCCCGTGGGACCCGACAAGTTATATACAATCTCTTGATTGTTGGGATAAGGGTCCGGGTGGTTCGGTGACGAAATGAAACCGTATTGTTTTGAGGCACCCGGTTGCACCTTCGTGTGCAATTGAGTCACGTCCCCGTTGGTCGTGATTTCTCCGGTTTCGGTGTTGATGTTGATCACTTCCACGGAATTCGGTTCGTAAATGCCGGGACCGTTTTTGTCTTCTACCTCGATTTGCTCATCTGAGAAAAGAAAAATTACCTTGAAATTCTCATGGCATGCAGAGGAAATCTTTCTGCAAAATGCTTGTCAATTTTTTTTAGCCGCCGTCAGAAATGAATCGAGGATATTGTGTGATACTGAACCGTGCTGGAGATCGTTCGAAAAATGAACTTGAAGATAATAAAGCATTCGAATTCGCGTGAAGTTTTTCGAGTGATCACCTCTCAAATGAGATGATCATTTCTCAGAAGACAACAGTTTTTTATTCATTTTGGTTCGATAAAAAAATGATTGCGTAATAAGCATATTACGGTGAATCATCAGGGAGAATATTCGGAGACTCCAATTTTTACCCCGAGGGAATATCAGAAATAGTTGAACGTAAACCTTTTATTATGTTTTCAAGGGATTCTCAAATTTCGACAGAATTTTGCAAGGATAAAACTACGACAGGATTGCTTTTATCTAACTTTTATGAGAAACACAGCGAATACATTTATTTCATCTGGGGTTAGAATTTCTTTCAAAACTAACCAACAAGAAGTTAAGCTTTACAATTTGAAAAGCCTCATATAATTTGTGAAAGGAAAACATTTCAAGTTTCTTCCTGATCAACAAATCCTTCCAAGTCTTAGAAAAATAAGCGTCTATACATTTCCTTTAAAAATAATTTCGACGCACGAAACTGATTTGCAAATGCATCCAGTTTATTGAATTCAAGTTTAGATTTTTTCGAAAAGAATATTGATGTAAGTTTTTCAAGCCGAATTGAAGGGCTATTTTTCTTCAACGTCATCGTGAAGACAATCCTCGAGAGAAAATATTTTTGTTTGATTCTACTCTAATGAGAGATTTTTGTAACATGCTTTTGAGAAATTTATTCGCATAACTTACAAGAAGTTTTTTCGGATTTCTAATGGTAGAAAAAGAGTTACCTTTGCTGTTATGAGGCAGTTCAGCAGCATATGCAGCCAAGTAACCAATATCAGTTTCCGCAGAGTCGCTTTGCAGGAAAACCGTGGCATTGTTTCCCGCTAATAATAATGGCAGGAACAAGTCTGAGATTCCCGACAACCTAAATCAAAAATATCTAGTCGGTTCATGCTGAAATTCTAAAAATTTTGCCTTTTCGTCATCCTCGAGAAAAAGCATCAGTTCTCTATTTAGCACTTCAAAAAATTTCATTTTTTTATAAATGCTTTCACGTTAAAGAGGGTAAAGACGAAAAGGCTTTCACGTTAATCCACTATAATGAATTTCACTTCACGCACGTAACTTTTCCGGGGACGCTTTATTTCACTTATCTAACAAAAAATATATAAAACTGTGGAATTTCGAAATGATAAATGCTTTATATACAAATTTTATTGGACCTTGAAGCTCACGATTTTTAAATTTTGTGCGAATTGTTAGGAATTTACGGTACTTGAATTCTTGCTAGAACGAATAAGTGTTTTTTTGAACGACCATACAGCTGCAGCATTTTTGCCAGCACGAAGGGCATCATTTACGCAAACATGCTCATGGTGATTCCTCTGCTATTTTAGCCAACATCGCTGCACTACGCAATGTAAAAATCCTCTCTGTCACATTTTTCAAAAATTATTCGTTGTTCAACTTGCGAAGCGTCACTGCAGTTTGAGGGTCATTCAACTTCTTTTGTAATGCTCCCAAGTTCGTGATGAGTTTGGTTCTATGAATGTTACTTGGAACAATTTTCCAAGAACACCTTCAATTTGATGTGCATTTAGCGAAAGAGCGATGAAAACAAAGAAATTATGCTGTATAATGAAGCAATTGAAAATTTTTTAATTAAAAAACTTTGGCTTCCAGTGGAAGGTGAATCCAAGATGGAACTCGAAACGCATGATTTTCACAGCAAACTTTTTAATATCTTTTTCTAATTAGGAACGCTGACAATAACCAAATGATCCAACCCATACTGTGTATGAATGGTCTTGGGTTTTTAACGCTGATCACTACATGAAGTGACATTAAAAAAAAAGCACGTTTTTCTATATGTTGACTCACTGTTCAACGTATTCCAAATCCGGTGCCGTGTCTCGGACTTCCAGTTGAACGTAGTCTCCATAGATTGTTCGAACTTGTAGGAAACCCAGCCTCACGCTGTCGATACTGTCACTGTCGACAGATAGGTCTTGTCCACAGTCCCTGGCTGCCACAGAATTCGGGTATCTGCCTGGGTACCCCGGACTCGATATGAACCCGTGGTCCGTTTCTTGGGTCAACACGATGCTTTCTGGACAAACGAAAATTGAAGCAGCCAGAAAAAAGTTTAAGAATGTTTGGATCTGTTCAAGCTCAAAACCAAATGTAAAAACCTCAGACTTTATCTACTGCATAAGTAATCTGTCTGAACGTAAAATATTCATTGCCAAGTTGATCACCTTTCTGCTGGTGTGTTTTGTTGAAAAAAAAAAATGGGAACCAAATGTTCTTTTTTTGTCGGAAGCTAGAATGAAAGTAATATTTTATGCTCCATTTTTTTATTATTTGCGAGGGTAGAGAAAAATATACGAAGACTGCATACGAATTTTTGGTTGTAAATTTATATAATTTCTACGTGAACTGTCACGCGTGACACCTCTCTAAAAGTGATAAGTATTTCTTGAATAACTGCCGCTGCATTTTCGAAAGCATGCTTGTCATACTTTGTGCAAGTTTACGATGCTTATGATGCTAATTTCTCTGCTATTCGTGCACATCACTAATTTTTGCAATGAAGATAGTATAAATGTATATTCATATTCTCTCATGCCTTTCCATGTATGACATGCATTATTTATTTGAAGGAACATGCATATTTACGTAATTGTTTATATGCGAAAGGTATTGTAGTTTCATAGTTTTTACTTTTACAAATAAGCACATGTAAAACGACTGACCTGAATTTTCTATTTCAGTGAATTTTATTTGATTATCTGATGAATTTCGATCAGAGAATGTAATTTCTCTCACCGATTCCGCCGCAAACATCTCGGCTTTCTGCTTTGTTTTCTACAATTGTGGATGAAATCTGCAATTAAAATTATTCATTTATAAAAAAAAAACCGCTCGAACATGCTTCGAAACTGAAAAAGTCTACTCACTTTGTTGGTATAAGCTGGGACAGCAGATAGTCCAATGCAAATGGCAATGAAAGTTAAAGTCACCATATTTTCTAAGGATTTACCGAATACAGTACAGCATAGGATAAATAAGCCAATTCGAGGACTTCTCAGTTCTTATATTTGCCAAATTTAAGCGTAACGATGATATTTCTTTTTTTTTTCTTCGCTGAAGCGAAACGGCTGAATCTAAATGACGATGTCAATTTGAAGTTTTCTGTCGGCAAAAATACGCTGTTATCTCTGATGCGTTATAATGCGATGCCTTTATGCGCATTATCTGTTTTTCTTATTTTTATCGATTTTTATTAGACTGTAATTCGGGAATTTTTCCGAAGTTTTGTTAGTACAGTATTTTACTGTACCTTTAAACGAAGTTTTAGGTGCCCTCGTTTTTGAGTCCGAATCTTTCAAGCCGTTTTGGAATTGATAAAAATACTTCGAATAGCCCCTTGAGCATTCCTAATTGCTCTTTTTCGCTAATTGTTGCCTTGATCAGCATCACTGTTAGTCAGACCATTTCTAAGTTGAGCATAATTTTCCAATGTTGGACGGTATTGTCGCCGGGGGAATTCTGTGCATGTTTTGAAATATTTCATGGAATTTTGTCTGCTTTTTAATTAATGCGAAGTGTGTGATCGGTGAACTAATCTTCCTCACGGTACTTTGAATCTTTTTTCACCTTTCGACTTTATGACCGTCTTTATCCGGGTGAGAAAAACTTGAAAAAAGAGTCAAAATGGTCAAATAGCACTCCGTGAAAATAATGTATCCATGTCAAAAAATGGTGCCTTAAAAAAAACTCGTGCCTTTAATTTCTCCAACGGTTTGCAAGTTTTATATAACTTATTGCATTTCCGAAGATACCCTCAAGTATGAAAATTTTCCTTCGAGCGTCGAAGAAAAGAAAGATTTCATGGTACAATGTTTGCGTAAGCAATCAGGAAACCGCTGAAAGTGTTGCTAGAGTCGCTTCTGAATCGCACAGTAACTTCATTTGTGCTGCTGTAAGCGATGCTCGTCATCAGAGTATAGCCACCCCTGAAACAATTGCATTCGATCAACATTTATTTCTCAATTCAATTTAAATTGAATAATTGAAAAAGAAAACTTACGCAAACGGGATTCCGTCTTCCAAAAAGTAGACGCTGTCGTAGCCCGTCTCCAACCTGGTTCGCAGGGCCCTCAGGGCAAATCTGGATCCCGAGGGACCCGACAAGTTGTAGTCAACGGTTTGACTGTTGGGATAAGGGTCCGGGTGGTTCGGTGACGAAACGAAACCGTATTGTTTTGAAGCACCCGGTTGCACCTTTGTGTGCAACTGAGTCACGTCCCCGTTGGTCGTGATTTCTCCGGTTTCGGTGTTGATGTTGATCACTTCCACGGAATTCGGTTCGTAAATGCCGGGACCGCTTTTGTCTTCTACCTCGATTTGCTCATCTGAGAAAAGAAAAATTACCTTGAAATTCTCATGGCAGGCAGAGGAAATATTCGTGAAAAATGCTCATCATTTTTTTTAGCAGCCATCAGAAATGAATCGAGGATATTGTGTGACACTGAACCGTGCTGGAGATCGTTTCAAACGATGAACTTGAAGATAATAAAGCATTCGAATTCGCGTGAAGTTTTTCGAGTGATCACCTCTCAAATGAGATGATCATTTCTCTGAAGACTCGACAGTTTTTATTGCGCTAAACATTTTTGTTGCGCTAAACAAAATATGATTGCGTAATAAACAGATTATGGTGAATCACCAGGAAGAATATTCGGAGACTCCCATTTTTACCCCGAGGGAATATCAGAAATGCAGTAGTTGAACGAAAACCTTTTCTTATGTTTTCAAGGGATTCTCAAATTTCGACAGAATTTTGCAAGGATAAAACTACACCAGGAATGCTTATCTAACTTTTATGAGAAACGCAGCGAATACATTTATTTCATCAGGAGTGTCAAATTCTTTCAAAACTAACCAACAAGAATATAGGCTTTAGAATTTGAAAAGCCTCACATCATCATTTGTAAAAAAAAAAAATTTTTTTCAAGTTTCTTTCTGATCCACAAATCCTTTCAAGTCTTGGAAAAATAAGCGTCTATCCATGTCCTGTAAAAATCATAGAAACTGATTTGCAAATGTATCCAGTTTATTGAATTATTGTCAAGATTTTTTGTCAAAAAGAATATTGATGGAATTTTTTCACGGTTTTCCGTTCGAATTGAAGGGATATTTTTCTTAACGTCGTCGTCAGGACGGTTCCTCGAGAGAAAATGTTTGTTTCTTATTCTAACCTAATGACAATTTATGAGAGATTTTTTCAAATGCTTTTGAGGAATTTATTCCCATGGCTTTAATTAAGTTTTTGCGGGTTTTTTTAATGGTAGAAAGATAGTTACCTTTGGTGTTACGAGGCAGTTCAGCAGCATATGCAACCAAGTAACCAATATCAGTTTCCGCAGAGTCGCTTTGCAGGAAAACCGTGGCATTGTTTCCCGCCAATAATAATGGCAGGAACAAGTCTGAGATTCCCGACAACCTAAATCAAAGATCTTCAGTTTGGTTCATGCTAAAAATGAAAAAATTTTGCCTTTTCGTCGTCCTCGAGAAAAGGAATCAGTTCTCTATTTAGCTTTTTAAAAATTTGATTTTTTTTAATGTTTTCACGTTAAAGAACAAAATCCACCACAAGGAATTTCACTTCACGCACGTAACTTTTCCGGTCACGCTTTATTTCAGTTATCTAACAAAAGAGAGATATAAAACCGAGAAATGTTTGATATGAAGATTTCTTGAAATTTAAATTTTTTGGCCCTTGAAGCTCACAATTTGTAATTTTATGCAAATTTTTAGGAATTTACGGTACTTGAATTCTTGCTAGAAGGAATAAGTGTTTTTTTAACGACTATACAGCTTCATTTGTTTCAGCATGAAGGGCATCATTTACGCAAATATGCTCATGATGATTTCTTTATCCTATCTTCAAAAATATTGCAATTTAAAAATCCTCTCTTCCACAGTTTTCAAAAATTCTTTCTTTTCGACTTGCGAAACGTCTCTGCAGTTTAAGGATCATTCAGCTTCTTTTGTAATGCTATCAATTTCGTGAGGAGTTCGCTGCAATGAATGTCACTTAGCATAATTTTCCAAGAGTCATTTCTTTCATTTCGGATTTATTTAACGGAAGAGCAATGAAAACGAAGAAATTCTGCTGTATAATGAAGCAAGTAAATTTTTTTATTTGAAAAATGTGGCTTCCAGTGAAAGGTGAACCCAAGATGGAACTCGAACCGAATGATGTTCACAACAAACTTCTAAATTTCTTTTTCTAATTAGGAAGGCTGACAATAACCAAATGAGCCAACCCATACTGTTCATGACTGGTCTTGGCTTTTTCGAAGCTGGTCACATCATAAAATGACATTTGAAAAATCACATGACGTTTGCCTATATTTTGACTCACTGTTCAACGTATTCCAAGTCCGGTGCCGTGTCTCGGACTTCCAGTTGAACGTAGTCTCCATAGATTGTTCGGAGTTGTAGGAAACCCAGCCTCACGCTGTCGATACTGTCACTGTCGACAGATAGGTCTTGTCCACAGTCCCTGGCTGCCACAGAATTCGGGTATCTGCCTGGGTACCCCGGACTCGCTATGAACCCGTGGTCCGTTTCTTGGGTCAACACGATGCTTTCTGGACAAAAGGAAATTGATGCCACCAGAAAAAAAGAAGTGTTAGAATATTTTGATCTGTTCAAGCTCAAAACCAAATGTAAAAACCTCAGACTTCATGTATGGAATCTTTCTGAACGTGAAACATTCATAGCCAAGTTGATTATCTTCCTGCTGGTGTGCTTTGTGAAAAAAAATCTGGGAACAAATGTTCTTATTTTGTCTGAAACTAAAATGAGAACAATATTCTATGTTCCTTTGTTTTTGGTCATTATTTGCGCGGGCCGAGAAAAAATATACGAATAAGGCCTTGGGCTGTAAATTTATAATTCTAACGTGAACTGTCACGCGTAACTTTTCTCTAAAAGAAGTGAGTATTTGTTGAATAACAGCAGCTGCATTTTCCAAAGCATGATATGTCTTAAATCCTGCACGTTTACGATGCTCATAATGCCATTTTCTCTGACATTTTTGTTGGTATCTCTAATTTTCGCAATAAAAAAATTATTTCTTCACATTGCCGCATGCTGTTCCATGTGTAATATGAATGATTCATTAAAAAAACATGCTTTTTCACGTTAACTGTAAATGCGACAAGTATTAGAGTATTGTGGCTGTCTGACAGAGAAAGCTTTCATAATCATGTATCATAATCGTAACTTTCTGAGGCAATTCACATGTGTAATTCCACGTTCATATAATTTGGCTTTTGCATATAAGCAGATGTAAAACGACCGACCTGAATTTTCTATCCCAGTGAATTTTATTTGATTATCTGATGCATTTCGATCAGAGAATATAATTTTTCTCACCGATTCCGCCGCAAACATCTCGGCTTTCTGCTTTGTTTGCTGCATTTATGGATGAAATCTGCAATAAATTTATTCATTTATTAAATAAAAACCCTTGAACATGCTTCGAAACTGAAAAAGTCTACTCACTTTGTTGGTATAAGCTGGGACAGCAGAAAGTCCAATGCAAATGGCAATGAAAGTTAAATTCACCATATTTTCTAAGGATTTATCGAATACAGTACAGCATAGGATAAATAAGCCAATTCGAAGACTCCTCAGTTCTTATATTTGCCAAATTAAAGTGTGACGATGATACTTCCTTTTTTTCTTTGCTGAAGCAAAACGGCTGAATATAAATGACGATGCCGAATTTGAAGTTTTCTGTCGGCAAAAATACGCTGATATCTCTGATGCGTTATAATGCGATGCCTTTATGCGCATTATCTTCAAGTTCCCATAAAATTGTTTTTATCGATTTTTATTACTTTGTAATTCGGGGAATTTTTCCGAAGTTTTGTGAACTGTGTACCTTGAAACGAAGTTTTAGGTGCCCACGTTTTTGAGTCCGAATCTTTCAAGCCGTTTTGGAATCGCGATCAATGCTTAGAGTAAGCCTCTTGAGTATCCCTAATTGTTCTTTTTTCGCTAATTTCTGCCTTCTCAGCATCACTGTGAGTCGATAATTTATAGATTAAGCATAATTTTCATATGTTGTCGCCAGGGAAATTTTGGAATGATTTCAAATACTTCTTGGAATGTTGCCTGCCTTCCAATTAATGCACAGTGTGTGTTTGATGGACTGATTTTCCTCACAGTACTTCGAGTGTTTTTTTTTTCATCTGCTGATTTTCTGACCGTCTTTATCATCCGGGTGAAAAAAAAAACTTGAAAAAGAGTCAAGGTGGTCGTATAAAACTCTGTGAAAATTATATCCGTATCCATAAATATGGACTCCAACGAATGATTGAAAAGCGTGTGATTAAAAAAAAAACTTGTCTCGGAATGTCACATAGCATTAATTTTACCGTTAGGTGTACACATTGCACACCTAGCATGCCTTTCAGCATTATTTTAGCTACTAAATATAAATACAATTTGAAATGTGGTACGCCATTTTACTATACAATGAATATATACATTTTATGCTAAGGTGTGTCAAATAACTTTCGTCTTATCTTATAATAACATCTTATAATAATAACCCATGTCAACTATGTAAAAGTATACGAGTACGAGGGTTCTAACAGAAGTTCTCGGAATTAAAATGAAAATGGCGTCTGATCGAGCTGAAAAAATTATTCTTTAAGGCAAACATATTCTTCGGCACACAAAAAAATCAGCCCTGTTTGACAATTTTTTTCAAGGTTTTGCAAAATTCACCCTGGCAGAGTTTTGCTATACACTTAACAGATGAGGCACCCTTCCTGCAGTTTTTTTTTTTGGCCCAGCTTTCCGCTCAGAATTCTGGAAATCAACTTGGCATTCTTTCTAAGGGTTTCCTCCAGGTCATCCAAGGCAATTCCGCCATTTTCATCGACAGCCGCCTTCACAGCCGCCACATTGGGGATAATGTGGCAGCTCTGAACCAATGTGGCGGCTGTGAAGGCGGCTGTCGACAAGGGCTCAAGTGACTCTTTGAATCTGACGTTAACTCAAATTTGAAGATATTTTGCTTCATGCCTTAAATCTATTCCATGAAAGAGACATTCAGCATGTTCTATTTTCCAGAAATATGGTTTTGTCTTGACTAATGATTCAATCTTCCTATATTCACGCTCATTATTTGTTTTTTCCAATAGCCTGTGCAGTCATTGATGCATCAATTATTAAATAGTCTAGCCCAAAGCTGAAAAAATCTCTGTTATAATGTTTACTGTACTAGCAATAAACTTTTTTTGACATCAAGATCAGTGGCATCAGCTGAAGGGTTTATTTATTTATTTTTATCAATTTGATGCGATCAAGTTGAAATTGAATACATTTTAAAGAAAGAAGGCGCAAGAATGTGCTTTGCCAATGTACTCAGTTGTTTATGCTGTACATTTTTTTCAATGCAATTATTCATTATTGTGATCGTGTATGAAATATTTTTCTGGTATTACTTCATCAGTTTTGTAAACATTTTGAAAGAATTTATATTTTTTACTGTGCTAGCAATCATCTTTTTCTTGACACCAAGATCAGTGGAATCAGCTGCAGGTTTATTTTTTGCCATCAATTTGATCTGATCAAGTTGAAATTTAATACATTTTGTTCAATCCCACGAGCTTGAGTGGAATTTCATTTGAATCCCTGGTATCGATTAGCAGAGTGACCTTGAATGATTCTTCCTATACTTTCAGTGAGAAGATGTTATGTTTTATGCGAAGGGTTGTCCATTTATTTCTGTCTACTAAGAAATTCCATGGAAACTTTGCTGACACATTCAAATATGTCCGTGATTGTACAGTATAACCTTGCGGAAAATTGAGCCGAATCTGGAGCTTTAAAAAAAAATTCGGATGAATTAAAAATGAGCAGATTGTGAAGAAACATTTTTTTTTCGCATTCAGAAAAACTTGATTCAAATAGACACATATGCCGCAAAAAGAAAAGAAAAAGAAACAACCATTTTCAGCGAATTTGCGAAAAGCTCACGGCTGAATATTCGTGTAAGCCAACAAGAAACCACTGTAAGTGTTTGAAGTGTCGCTTGTGAATTGCACCGTGATCTCGTTGCTCTTGCTGTAGATGATGTTTGTCATCAGGTGTTCAATGTTCCTGAAATTTCAAAACAAGACGAAAACTCGTTTTTTTCGAAACTACTTCGTGATATGATAAGAAAAAAAAAAAGACGCACTGGAGTAAAACTCCGCCGTCAAAGACCCTGAGCTGGTCGTAAATCGGCTCCAACCGCAGTCGCATCAACCTTAGTGCAATTTTGGATCCTTCTGGAGCTGATATGATAAGAAAAAATAAAAGACGCACTGGAGTAAAACTCCGCCGTCAAAGACCCTGAGCTGGTCGTAAATCGGCTCCAACCGCAGTCGCATCAACCTTAGTGCAATTTTGGATCCTTCTGGAGCTACTAAGTCGAAGGTTATCCGTTCGCCGTTTGCGTAATTGTTCGGATGGTTCGGCGACGAAAGGAAACCGTAGGTTTTTGAGGCACCCGGTTGCACTTTGGTGTGCAATTGAGTCATGTCCCCGTTGGTCGTGATTTTTCCGGTTTCGGTGTTGATTCTGATCACTTCCGTGAAACTCGGTTCATCAGCGTCTGAGTTGATTTTGTCTTTCACCTCAATAATCTCATCTGAGAAAATAAAAAATAGAGGTTTATCGATGTTTACGCGGGAATTACCATGAAATACTCATTGCAGGCGGATGAAATCTTTTTGCAGAATTTTCATCATTTTTTGAGCGACGATCAGGAATAAATCGAGGATATTATTTGATATTGACCCACGTAAAAAGTTATAACAAACATGAAGAAAATCTTCGAATTCGCTTTCAGTTATTGAGTGATAATCTTTCCATTTAGACGATAATTTCTCTTGAAATTTGTCAATTTTTGTTAAATTTTGAGGAGATATATACGAAAGGTTATCAACACTCTAGCTGAAAATCACTGAGAAATTCCTCACAGGCCAATAAAATCTGAAATTAATTTTAAACAATTTTCATGAGTAAAAAGTATTCGATATGTTCAAATGATGTTAACCTTTGAAAGCGTTAGAAATAACGGAAACAGTGTGCATTTAAATTGGCATGTAGTTGAATTGTGATGACCTTCCATCTTAAGGCAGCGGTTTCCCCCAAAATTTCGAAGAATTTTATCAGAATTTGTTCCTTCATTGAAGAAAGAAGTGATGAAAAATACAATACCTAGTTAACAACAAAAAGATCTTACATTCAATTGAGCATTTTGTTTCTTGACCAAAATATCGAGCCGGAAAGATTCGCCTTGTTCAACTATTCAGATAGTAAAATAAAATAATGTAATATTTTTGCTGTTCTCCGACGTCATTAGAATCGGTACACAAATATCAAACAAAATTATTTTAACAATCCTTAAATATTCTGAATTATCGGAAAATTTTGCTTGTTGACTATTTATTGTAAGTTATTCAAAATCACTCCTGGCTGATGCCTGCTTCATTTTCTTCAACTCTTTAAATAAATAAAAGTATTTATGGTAAAATGTATTCAAATGTGCGTGCTGGTGATATTAATGCAATTGAAATAACAAACGTGGTATCATTCGAAAGATCATTTAATGAGCTTTAATTAGATTTTTTTTTCTAAACCCAGTGAGATCAGCTCTTCGGTGGAAACGGCACTTGAAAGATTTGTTCCACTTCTTTTTTGTTCATTCTTATTAATCCAAGTACAATAATATTGAACCATCTCACCTTTTCCATTGTTTGGCAATTCAGCAGCGTAAGCAGCCAAGTAACCGAACTCGGTTTCAATTGCGTCGCTCTGTAGGAAAACCGTGGCATTGTTTGCAGCGAAAAGCTGCGGAATGAACAAGTCCAGTGTTCCTGCAAACCTTTTCAAAATTAACAAAAAATGATCATTCGAAAATATTTAAAAAATGGTATTTTCACGAGCGATATACAGTATACTTGACCAGGAGGTGCACAAATAACATGCTGTGTTATTGAGCTGGAAACGAAGCAATTCTTCAAATACTCTTCGTTACTGCACAACGAATTTTTCAAATGTCTCGATTTGAGAGTTATAGAAAAAATGCTGAAAATAACGCTATAACGCATTTTCAAGATTCGACATTAAAATTTATTTTATTTTCATGATTTTCCGTAAATACTACCATATAATCTTTAGGGTTCATTTATTTTCCTCAAAATTTGTTGAAGAAAGCGTAAAAATAATTTGTGGCAAAATTTGCCTCAGAAGGAAAAGTAAATCTCGGATTAATAAATTCATTTGACTTTGCTTCTAGAATAACATTCTATTGCCATTCGGGAATCTTTGGCAAACTGTTGTGATGATTTGATATTCTGAAGGAATGTCCCGAGGACAATACCTCAGTTTCTCAAAAGAATCTCAATACAATTCGTTTAGATCAAAGGAATTTTCTTTAGGTCTCTATAGAAGTTCGTTGTAATTAGATCCCACTGTATCCATGCTCACGAAATTCCCCAAAAATTTCGAAAAAAGTCACGCTTCAATAATAAGGTATGGAAAACTCACTGGTCTATGAATTCCGCGTTTTCGTCTCGCAGTTCAACTTGTACAGAGTCTCCATTTGATGTTCGGAGCTGAAGAAACCCTAGCCTCACACTGTCAATGACACTGCTTTCGACCAGTAGGTCGTGTCCACAGTCTCTGGCTCCCACATTGTTTGGGTATCCGACAGGGTACCCGGGACTCGAGATGAACCCGTGGTCAGGTCGGTCAGTCAACACGATTTGTTCTGAATGGGGGAAAATGAAATAGAAAATTTCATTTACAATTTTAATTATAACGTGCAGTATTTCAGTTCGCCTGCTTAAATGTTAAAAAAAAATCTTCAATTCCACTCGACCTGGTGCAAATTATGCAAAAAGCAGTCCTCCAACTAAATTTTCACGCGCATCCGATCGTCCTTTCAATGTAATATTTTAATCAGAGGCGCGTAATTCTTGAAAATAAAGTCGAAAGTGATTTATTTTTACTGAGATACATTATTATTTCGAGGAAATGAATGTTGAAAATTTTGCTATAATGACTTAATTCAAACAAGAAATCACGCAGACAGTCGAGGGATTTGCTGCGTTCCGAAGCCTGAAATCATTTAAAAATCTGAGTTCCAACTGAAGTTGGATAATTTAATCAACGAATTGCTTTAAAAAAACCGATTTATGTAAACTAAAAGCTAATTGCCTAATTTAGAATTATTTAGAAAAATTGAACACTGAAAGGGCTTGAAACACTTCATGAAACCATTTTATGGATCTAACACACACAGATTCTCAAAAGAGCTGTAAAATAGTTTTCACTGAGAGCAAATTTTTAACTCAGGTATGTTTTAAAAAGTAAACGAGACATGAATGTAGTTTTCTTACCTAAACCCCCACAAATTTCTTTGCTTTCTGCTTTGTTCACTGCTGCTCTGGACGGGTTCTGTGATAACTGAAAAAAACGTCAAAAATAGCTCGAACACGATTTTTTGCGCGGAAATTAAACCGCAAAAAGTCTACTCACTTCTTGTGTTGAAGCGGATATGATTGAAAGTCCACTGAAGATTATAATCGCGAGGTAGTTCATATTGTATCTCAAGTGCACAATCAAATTTTCTGCTCGGATGCGAAGGTAAATGAATAAAAAAATAGATGAAATGAAAATCAGATAAACGAAAGATTGCAATTTCCTCAGGACGTCTTAGTTGACATCGAACTCATTTTCGCCCTGGTGAACGCGAACAGTAGGAATGATAAATGATGAATTTGTTTCAAAGCGTTTTATATAATAGATTATAGGAAAATTTTTGCTGATACTGAAGATAGCAAGTTAATTTTCCGAGCTCGCCATTTCGTCCATCGAAAGCGTGACGATGCTTTTTTTTCGCCCTTTTTTCACTTATGCTGAACGATGACTTGACAATGCAATGTTTGCCATTTCGAGCAGGCAAAGAAATAATTTTCTGCTGCGTTATTCTGCGTCTTTTTTTGCGTTCGTGTGACTATTTTCAAGTTCCCGATATGAAAATCGTTTCTTGGAAAGGATAATTCGAGATAGTGTTTTTCGGCCGCGTAATTTATTTTGCATTTAATCAAATTCAGGGGCTTGGAGTAATTTTCAAGATCAATTTTGTGATAAAACATTGCTGAAGCCTTAGTATTGTATAGAGAAACAATTACCAATATTCATGTTGAATAAAGTGAGATATTTTCTTCACTGATTTTTAAAATAGTTCGGAGAAGAATCAGACGTGAATCAAAACGAGCCACTCACTTGATGATTCCCGGAAATTAATTCATAATTACCGCTGGAAAAATTAACGCTGTTCCCCTTCTTTTATAGGCTCAAATATAAGTTTGACTCCCGTCTTCTGAAAAATATTCTTGCTTTTTTTGGCTGCCATCTTGAGGTTGTGCTGGAGACCATTTAAATCCAACTGCCAACCCAAAAATTTCAGGTATCTTTCCGAAATCGAAATACTGCACTGTATTTTTGAAATTCTTTCGAAATTATTTTTTGTCATAAGTCGCGTTAAGTTTGTTTCCTTTGGTGGACCTTTTGTTCTTCAATGACGTGAACCTATAATATTTGAAGAAATAAAACTAAAATCAGATGTACGTACAGAGAGTTTATTGACGGACACTTTAGTAATTTAATTTTAGGATTTTTTGCGAAGAAATTTTGATTCTCGTACCTTAATTCTGACATTGTTTTCTCAAAACTTAGCCTGTCCAGTCACGGAATATTTTACGATGTTATTTATTCGAGTGAACCGACTGTAATTCATCGAATCGAAAAATTGAACTTTTTTGATTGATAATACAGTACTGTAACAAGAGAGCTCCAATTAAAAAAAAATACTTGTCTTAATGATGTAGTGCTTGAGGTTGTGGGAATTTTAAAATTCCCGTAAGAAATAATGAGCTCCATAGGAACCATGACCGTTCATTTCCCCCCTGTGTGAAAATTTTGCAGTGCAAAGGGAATGTTCCATCTTATCAATTTCTGCTGAATCATGCCAAAAATGCGGTGTTCTTCAAAATTACGTTTGCAAAATTTGGATGCACAAGGATGTACATAAAACCATCGGTTGCCTTTTCAGTGCCGTTCAAAATCCATCGCAAAGCTGTCCCACGAAAATTGAATAATTTGGAACGACCAGCATGTGGCATACAACTATTTGCTTTAAAATTAATCGTCTTGTTTTGAAGCACGTGCACATTTGATTTTTCAGAAGGCTGTTTCACAATTTGTTTTTAAAATGTTTGTGAAAGTATTTATTGTTGCGTGTTTCGTCTCTGCGTCGGTTATTGCGACCCCAGTTCTTGTAAGTGGTTTTTTTTTCATCAATGGAAATTTAGACAATTTAAAATTTATTCAAATCTTCGATTTTTTAAAAACAGAAAAAAGTCGATCAAACTTCATCGAAGCCGCCTTCAGTCAAGAACATCTGCGGAGGAATCGGTGAGTTTGGAATTCGGTGCATTCAATTTTTTCCAAAGTCTCTTGAAAATGGTTTGATTTCGTTAGATGTGATTGAATTGGACTCCGACACTGCCCACGGGTTCATCAGTAGCCCTGGGTACCCAGGAACATACCCGGCTTCCATCATCGACCCCGAAGACTGTGGTTCCCAAGTGACAGTCGCAAATAATACCATCGATTCGGTTCTCCTCGGATTCCTTCAATTAAGACTTAGACCCGGGGATTACTTGAGTATCAAGCAAACGTTTTATAATCCGCCTTCGGAACGCACGGAGCAGTGAGTACTTTTTAAAGTATTTTTTACAGTCACAAGGGATAATTCAGAGTCAACAAAAAATTGAAATTAAATTTTTCATTGATCGAGGTTTTTGTAAATAGATAAAAATAATTTAAAGCATCCCGCTGTTTATTTGCTAAAAAAATTAAAGCTGTAGACATGATTTGAGGAACATCTTGACCATTGACATTCTCGACCGAATTCCGCATGCGTAGAAATTTTTTTTTTAAGTCAAGACCTCCTTTTTTCACCATGGGAAGGCACTTGTCAAGCTCGAACAAAATTCTTGAAAATATCAAGAAATAATTAAGAATATTTCCTAGAACTTAAGAGTGTCACTGAATCTATAAAAGACCACGCATTGTTCCGATGAGGCGTGTTTTCAACTCCCGTCTTCTCTTCACGTGAACCAGTATAAGAAAAATTGATGACATTAAAAAAAAAAGCCAAATTACATCGTGAAATATTCACGTCCATCCAAGAAGAATCTGCGGAAACAGGTCATAACTCATCAAATAAACCTCGCGCACATGGTGAATTATAAAAAAAACTAAATTTTTTTCCTTCAGACTCACTGGTTCCTATGACGTCTTTCTGCCCGATTTG